AGCAGCAGCAGCAGCAGCAGCAGCAGCAGCAGCAGCAGCAGCAGCAGCAGCAGCAGCAGCCACCTGATGGAGCGCAGCATGGCCTCCTCCACGCGGCTGCGGTCGGGACAAGTCGAAGCCACGACGTCGTCCAGCTGCATCGCCACGTCGCTGCCCAAGTCGTTCTGCAGCAGCAGCAAAACGAGCTAGCTAGCTAGCTAGCTAGCTAGCTGGCTAGCTAGCTGGCTAGCCAGCTGGCTAGCTAGCTGGCTAGCTAGCTAGCTAGCTAGCTGGCTAGCTAGCTGGCTAGCTAGCTGGCTAGCTAGCTGGCTAGCTAGCTAGCTAGCTGGATAGCTAGCTAGCCGGCTGGCTGTTTGGCTAGCTGGCTCGAGAGATAGCTAGCTAGCTAGCTAGCTAGTTAGTTAGCTAGCTAGCTAGCTAGGTGGCTAGCTAGCTGGTTGCCAGTTCACTAATCAATTACCCTGCTGCTGCTGCTGCTGCTGCTGCTGCTGTTTGTAGAGTGTCGAGTGTCTTCAACTCTGGCTACCTGCCTTCTGCTGTGGCTCTCTCTCCAGCAGCAGCAGCAGCAGCAGCAGCAGCAGCAGCAGCAGCAGCAGCAGCGGCAAGACCTGACCTGCATGGCAATGGAGTCTTCGGGCGTGAGGAGAATAAGCTGCGTCTCCCCCTCCTCCTCCTCGCGGAGCCTCTTCCCCCGCTGCTGCTGCTGCTGCTGCTGCTGCTGCTGCTGCTGCTGCTGCTGCTGCTGCAGCTGCTGCTGGGTGTCCGTGTCGGGGTCTGCAGAGCTCGTCTCGGCGCGGCGTTTTCGGCGCTGCGGCTGCCGCCGCCGCCGCTGCCGCTGCTGCTGCTGCTGCTGCTGCTGCTGCTGCTGCTGCTGCTGCTGCTGCTGCTGCTGGTAAGCAAAGCTGACTCCTTGTTCGAAAACTCGAACTATTTTGTTCAAAGACACCAACTGAAATCCCCCGCTGTCCGTCAAGAGGGCCCCCCCCCAGCCCATGAACCTGTGGAGGCCCTTGCCCACGAGCTGCATGCGGGGGCCCCCCACTTGTCGGAAAAGATGAAAAGTATTTCCCAAAATCAAATTGCTGAACCATTTCGGAGCAGCAGGAAGGCTTGCTGCTGCTGCTGCTGCTGCTGCTGCTGCTGCTGATGCTGCTGCTGCTTTTCCCGCTTCCGGGGATGCCGCCGATGCCTCTGGGCGCCCCGAGGCAGCTTCCCCTCCTGCTGCTGCTGCTGCTGCTGCTGCTGCTGCTGCGGGGCAGTCCGCTGCTGCTGCTGCTGCTGCTGCGGGGCAGTCCGCTGCTGCTGCTGCTGCGGGGCAGTCCGCTGCTGCTGCTGCTGCTGCTGCGGGGGACGACTGCAGCGCCTCGCCCGCGGGGGCCGCGCCACCCTCCCCCCCCGCAGCAGCAGCAGCAGCAGCAGCAGCAGCAGCAGCAGCAGCAGCAGCAGCAGCGCGCATTTCTTTGTCGATGAGCTGCAGCAAAGGCGCATGCAGCCCCTTGAGGGCCCCGTTGGTGCCCACAGGCATGAAGAGAGGTGTACGTACACTGCAGCGCGGCAGCAGCAGCAAACCAGCTCTTGCTCTGCCATCTGCTGCTTCCAAACGAAACTGCAGCGGCCCCGGCTGCGGCCACCTTGCTGCTGCTGCTGCTGCTGCGCGCTCCTCTGCTGCTGCAGCAGCCCGCTCCTCCGCGCTCGCCCCTGGCAGCACCGCCAGCTCCTCATCAAAGGGCCCCTCAGGGGGCCCCTCGGGGGGCCCCTGGGGGGCCCCCTCGGGGGGCCCCTCGGGGGGCCCCTGGGGGGCCCCCTGGGGGGCCCCCTGGGGGGCCCCCTGAGGGGCCCCCTGGGGGGCCTCCTCGGGGGGCCCCTGGGGGGCCTCCTGGGGGGCCCCCTTGGGGGGCCCCTGGGGGGCCCCAGGGGTGGGGGGGGCCCCGGGGGGCCCCCCCTCCAGGGGGGGGGCCCCCTCCAGCTGGGGGGCCCCCGTTAACGGTGGAAGGGGGGCCCCCAGGGGGGCCCCACACTCGGGGGCCCCCGAAGAGGCTTCTGCTGCACAAGAACTGGGGGCCCCAGGGGCCCCCTTGGCCGCTGGGAAGAGATCGGGGGAGGCAGCAGCAGCAGCAGCAGCAGCGGGGCAGCAGCCGACCCCTGCTGCTGCTGCTGCGCTGGGGGCACCCTCTGCTGCTGCTGCTGCTGCTGCTGCGGACGGGGGGGCCCCCGGCTGCAGCAGAGAGGCACCCTGGGCTTCGCCGTCCATCGGAACTCGAAATTGAAAATTGCCTTTTAAGTCTGCGGCCAACTTGCGGAATGTGTGGGGGATTGCATGCAGCAGCAGCAGCAACAGCAGCAGCAGCAGCAGCAGCAGCAGCAGCAGCAGCAGCAGCAGCAGCAGCAGCAGCACTAGCAGCGGCAGCAACGATCTCTGCGCAGCGGGGCCCCAAGACCTGCTGCTCCGTCTGCAGGCGCGAGAAGTTAATGAAGTTTTGATTTAAAATTAAATAAATAA